AAGTTTTTTCATCTTTTCACGGTGTATAATTTACCTTTTCATCATTACTAGTACTTAAAAAGTAAACTTTCATTGCCAAAATAAGTCGGCCATAGATCTAGCATCATTTATAATCAACACAAGTTATTTTTATGGTTTAATATAATGGCAGCTTACGAAAGTCTGAATATATTGTCTAGCATAACAGTACATTTTTTTAGAAGTCATTTTTGTGTCTACTGCATATTAATAAGCAGTAGACACTACGCCATCCAGTTTACCCAGATATACTTCATATCCTATTCAACTAGCGAAAAATATAGTTAAATGACATACGATATAACTGACATAAAGTTCATCCTGGTGTAAGGGTTGTAAAACTTTGAATTACTTTTGGATTCCACGTGCACAGCTAGCGGTGCATGGCGAGGATAGCCGATGTTATCCTAAGTCCTGTGTACTGGCTGGTGCTGTTTTGTTTGCGACTGCTAACGACTTTTTATCGACTGGGAAACGTTTGACCAACGTATCAAACCGTGAATCGGTAGGATTCAGTGATTCCTACAATCGCAGCCATTTTTGTAGTGAATTTTATCTGGTTTTTTTGGAACAAGCTTAAGTCACACAGGTTTCATGGAATGTGTCAAGTATTGTTTAATTAAAGTGCTTTCAGGTATTTGCAATATCTAGAAAGAATTTATCGCAAAAAACGACCACTGAATTGGCGTGTTTGTGCTACACAAAGCACGTCAACAAATGTTGCTTCATGAACGATTGTTACAGAACCGATGCGATGTGAAACTGACTCAGATTGTTACAGTGAAAATATTTGAGACCTTTAAAGGGATAACTGGGCTCTGTAAGCAGAATATTAAGCCCTGAATACCTGCAAGTGAATATTCTACATATACATGATTCAAAAATGTTGCTGTGTATCTATCATCAGTAGACACATGTACTCCTCGAGTACGTATATTTTTCAATATCTTCAATATTCTCAGAATTGATTCTTTATGGTGTAAGATGTTGAATGATCCAAAAAAAATTTATATATGTTGTTTAAGTGCAGCTTCTTGATGTTATAAACTAAGGTTTTTCTATGTCATATGATAATGCTGTCACTTTTGAAGTACCCATATTTAGTCATGGTGAAATAACTAATATAGCCAGGCAGCTTTGGACTATAATTGGCAGGACAAAAACCAGCTTTGGGAAGTCAAAAAAATTTCAAAACTGCTTTTTGCTGCTGCCACCAGTTAAATTTAGCTTACATTTTAGCCACCAGCAGGCTGCTGCTACACTGTAGAACAAGACCTGCTTACTTTAATTTAGTTAATTGACAAGCTTCAATAATTTGTTACCTGATGATGTGTGTGTAGAACTTGCTGGGTTACCAGTTGGGTTTATATGACATGGGATATCACCAGTTGAGTTGTACCCTATACATATATAACATTATGCAAAACATAATAATTAAAAAAGATAAATTCCTTTTGCAGTTTATACATTAATGTGCTGATATATTGCTACAGGTACGTCAGCAAGCGATTTCAGCTTGTGGTCCCTTAAGAATGGATGACCCAGACAAATATTAAGCTTTCTAAATACTTAATATCTATCTTGAGCAGCAGCATAATATACCAGTATAAGCATTATAAGGCCAAAAAAGTATTTCAATAATTGCTCACAAGATAAGTTCCAAAGTTTTTTACAAAAAATGAAATATATTTCTTGTATTTAGTTATCATTATTAATAGTAACTTGCATAACTATGGTTCCCTTGAAATACCACTAGCATGGCTGCCATATATTCTCTTTGTTATTCAATTGAAAATGCTTGCAAACCATAAATCCTTCCTTGTCTTGCTTCAAATATTCCTCCAAATCATCTCCCTCTTTAAGGTGCATAGTGGCAGGTTTTATCAGGGCATAGCAATTTCTTAATGAAACTCGTAGTGGGAGGGAATAGGAGGACATTAAAGGAAGAGATGCAGATGCATTTTAAAATATTTCTATAATAAATTATACCTGCACATGTCTTCATGTTGAGACAGAATGTTGTTGGTGGAAGTAGTTCAGCAACCGTTTTACATACATGTATTCCTACTGTACAAAGTTGAACATCAAGCTAGAAAATATCAGACACAAGTATAAGCAAGCCTTAGATTTGTATATATAACAAACAGCATCCCCCAAAACTATTTTTTAAGGAAAAAGTCCCTGTTAGAAATTATTTATTTGAAAAGGCTAGTTACAGTAGTTAGTAGGAAAAAATAAAGCACCTCTCAAAGTAAACCTGGGATATGTGGGGATTTGTTACCTTTTTAACGTCTTTTTGGATCCCGACTATGTGGGGGATTTACACATTTTATCATCTGCCGAAGGAATGTGGGGCATTAGGTTGAGATTCGTTTTGTAAATTCCAAGATGGTGGCCATTGTTCCAGCTGAGAATTTTGGGTTGCAGCATTTTACTTTCTTACTTTCTGGGTTTTTTCCTGCAAAATTCTTCTCCATAGGGTGGGGCATTTGTCAGTTTTAGTTCACTATTCAATACTAATCCCCACATATATTCTGGGGTGGGGCTTTACTTTGACTGGTGCATAAGTAATGTTTATGTTTGCACATTATACTAATTTTTATACAGTAATTACACAGCCCAGACAACTAGCTTTAATGACATTCACTGGCAAATAACGTTGCAATAAGATTTTTTTTAACTTTGCATAAATCAGTAATAGTTTTTTTATTTTATTTTCCTTTTAACACCTAGTTTTTTGTTATTTTGTTGAGTTTGGAAGCAAATTCTGTGATGAATTAATTGTCTGAACTTCAATAAGCCTTTTCATAGTTTAAGAATTGATTCCACTGCGCATGTGATTTTATCCTGAATTTCTCACCTTCTTTTGTCTAAACCTTCTTTTGTTCTTAATTAAACAAAAGGTAAGAAATTCGGGAGAAAATTGCATGCGCAGTGGAATCGATTCTTAAACTATGAAAAGGCTTATTACGAAAGACAGCTTCGACTTCGATGGAGTCAACTGAGTCAAGTATAGGGTATAATTGGAAGAAGATCTATTTGCAAACGCTTTCTCTGTTTTCAATTTAAAAGGCAGGCTGTGTGTTTTATTCCAGCTAAAAACTGAATATACAAGATAATCGGCCGTTTATGATACAATCGGGGCGATCAACAAAAAGCGTTGCGTTATGCGTTAGGTTGATTTACATTACTACTTTATATCTTGACCTTCAAGGGTCACGGCTCCTACATTTTTAACATGAAACTATTTATTTACACTGTGAACTAAGCGAATATTTTGATAGAAATTCGTTTAGAAATACTATTTATTTGGTCTTCATCCAAGTCGCTTTGTAAATTACTGATTATTTATTGGAGCGAATTCTTGTTAGACCTTCGCACATTTCAACATTCAAGAACATTATTGCTTCGGCTGTTTGTAATGTGCAGTGATCAAACTACTTTTTATTCAGAACGGCTTAATATTTGAATGACAAAACTGGCCGAACTTCCTTCAAAAATCCAATGGAATTGTTCTTTTTTTTGTCTTTTTCTATTTTTTCTACGATCTACATCTACCTTGATTATTTTCTTAAGACGTCACTCAGTAAATACAACTGTCCATATCAGTAATAAAGCTTCGCTCGATCGAGCTTATAAGATTTTTTTGCGGAATACCGTCGTGACTTTGAGCTGTCTCTATGCAGAATAAAGCCCTCTATAGCTTGAAATCAGACTTTCTCTTTGAGTTCTAATTAAAATAGCTTTTTTCGATATGTAGGTGGCTCGATCTACAAGTCTTCAGAAAAATCGAAATGTCGACGTTGTACATAAGCGTTTTTCTTTACTTTTAAATGCATCAGGAAAAAAGGTCTAACTCATTGAAATTTTATTTCAGGCGTAAATTGTATAATTTTACTTCAACTTGCATCTTTCCTTGATTCTTTTAATATGAATAATCCGAAGATAAAACTATGTGCGAGACTGCGCATGCACAGCTTTGTGTTTGTTAGTGTCGTGTAACGTTCGTAATCAGATGACGTAAGAGGATCGACAAACGTTTAATTATCGATCTGCTAACATCTTAGTGAGCGAGTGAGTGAGTGAGTGACACATTTGCATATTCAGACCCCTCACAATAACTCGTTTCTACGCTTCGCATATCCACAAGTTAAAAAGGGGGGTTGTACAGAATTCTTTTTTTCTTTTTTGCTACATGTAAATGCTTCAGAAATAAGTATAGTAAATTCATCAAGGAAAAGAAGCTTGCTATAGTGTATTATAAGGTATGAAAGAAACAATTAAAAAAAAAAAGAAAAATGGCAAAGAAATGCAGAAATAATGACTTTTTTAATATTTTGGAATTAAAACCATGTGTGTTACATGTAGATATATCAAGAAGCTTGCAGGTCACTGGGTATACTTACCCCTGCAGTTATTCTATTCCTGTTCTTTTTCAAAGTCAGCTTTAATTCTATTGGCATGAGTCCCCCTGAGCTGACTTTTGTATTGCCAGGTTTCAGTTCCCCATGGTATTTGATATGGTTGACGTATATCATGTCAAGATTGATAGATGGCGGTGTCTTGCAGTGGTTAAGTTCCATCTTCATGTAGAAATCATTTTTTTTGTGAGTACCATTGCACATTAAACCTACAAGTTTAAACAATCAACCTTATTAAATTTTATAGAGGGTGAACTTAGCACTTATAAACTTGTGGTCCTCTGTGTTAAAACAAGACGGACTGCCATTTTACACGGTCATTTGAGCCACAGCAAAGGTCAAACCCTTCACTGCAAATACTTTTTATCAAAGGCAGTATGCACTTTCTACTCAGATATTTTGAGACCCTGAGTGTTGGTCGGACCAAGGCTTAAGACACAACACGCGAACAATATGCCAGTTGTTTAGGGAAGCACCGATCGTGTGACTGCTAATGCATCACCTCTCACCAATGCGGCCTGGGTTCGAGTCCTGCCAGTCTTGGTGTCATGAGTGAGTAGTGTTGTTTGTTGGTTCTCTCCTGTGCTTTAAGGGTTTTTCTCTGGGTTCTCTAGTTTTCCTACCTCCTTAAGATGGAGGATATCCTATAATATACATATATATAATATACATATATATAATATACATATATATATATTATATATACACTCGATTGCAGAAACGTTGTGTATACATTTATACATTTATACAAATACCTAATGAGATGCTTATTGCAATTTTACTTTTTTAACCCTCAAAACCAATTGATTTATAATCTGTAGGATGTGAAACACAAGAATAAAATATTTTGACGTTCATTGAATGAAACAAATAATAATTTTACAACAACTCACGTAAATAACACATTCTGATTGGCTGAGAGCTATGATCAATAAGAGGACAGACACATGGATGACGTAATGTTTTTGAAACCAAGACTCGCCGGTAGGATTTTATCGTAAGGACTGTGATTTTGCGAATTTATTTTGCTAATAAAAGTCGACAATGGAACCAGAAGAGGAACCACACTTTGAATTTAATCTTGCCGATAGTCTTGCCGATGAATATTTAGTTCTGGAGGCAGAAAAGATAGAGGAAGACGTGAAAAATTCATCTCGCTTTGCAACTTGCGAAGAAAAAGACTTGAATGAGCTTGTGTCAAGTGCTAACGCGAAGGGCACAAAAAGAAACACCAAATGGGTATTAAAACT